GTTCTGATTTAATAAAACAGGTTGTTTCAAAACATTCGGAAAACTCTGTCGTAAATTTTTAGCGTAATTTGCTGTCAGTCTATCTAACATTTGGATGGAATTCATGATAGCTAACATAACTAAATTTTATACCACAATTAATGATTAGTATTCTTTTATCGATGAAAAATTATTCAATATTTCAAATTAACGTTTTAAGTTGAACGAAAATTAATCTGGTTATCAATGATTAAATTTGTAGGTACGTATACAGTCGACCATAATTCTTTTATTTGGTCACTAATCAATAGTCAAAGAAAATAGCCATGAAGCAGACTGAAACGACTAGTGGAAAAAAATAAAGTAGACTTAATTGGATTTTTTTTGTGAAGGAGTTTTCAGTCTCCAATCTTTGTGAAAGAAAAAAAAAATATTATTGATCACTTTGCTTACCCATGCCAAATAGAGCACAATTTTGCTTAACTTGAAGGATGAACTTCATTTCCCTAAGGGCAGTTGCCCTTTTTTCGTTGTGGCAATTTATCTGACATGCAAATGTGATATGTTCCTGAACCGTTTATCTTCCCGGTGATCTATGCCTTTGCTGTTTTCCCCTCTTTTATCTGAACAAGTAAACGCTTATTTGGAAGTATGAATGCAAGTTACCGTCTGGAGTTGAAAGCAACCAAAATATTCAGAAATTTTCGTATTGGAATAATATATCATTTCAGGCATGTTTTCTTTTTAGAATATTATAGTTTCGTAAATATTTCTTTTTAAATGCAAATGTCTAAAAAAGTTTTACTTTCTTAAAAGAAAACATTGTAAAATACGAGCATAAAAATCTTCCTAAATAGGATAAAAAGAAGCATAATGTAGAATTTAAAGATATGTCCTTACATATCAACTGAGAATTTACATTCAAGATAAATTGCTTTGACTTTTCGGAATAAAAAGCATTTTACTTAGCGGGTGGATTTCATTATTATAATCACTTTAATCTTGTCGAGAGATTGATGTATAAAGCAGTAGCTGTGTGAAATTTTGCTGAGCTGCTACAGTCGTTCAAATGCCTAGTAAATATAATCATCTGAATATATTTCATAAACTGCAACCTGCAGATTTTATTTAATTTAAGCAGCGCCTTTGCACTATTGGACAAAAGAATCAAACAAGCTTACCTTAATAAAATAAATACTTTTTTTGTGGGTTCGAAAATACCACAGCTGCATCTTGCAACAACTAAAAATTGTTGCTCCTCGTTCTGAATTTCGTAACTGAGTCACAAAAAACAGGCCTCGTGAAGAACAATGGGTTTTCACCTGTAATCCTCTTAAGCTCCAGTGGTGACCATACAACATTGCCCAGTTTCATCCTAGTTATGATCAAGGACATCTCTTACGTCTCCAAAGGAGGTCTCCTTCCTTCTGTAAGTTAACCTATGGCTAAACCATGTTGCTAGAAGCAGTATCTACTTGAAGTTAGGATAGAAGAATGCGGATCAAAGAGCAAGAAAATAGCTGCAATGACTACAGCTATGACACTTGAGAGAAGTTACTTATTGCTTGCAGTCACATCAAAATTATCGGAGGTATAAGAAGAGAAAGACTCTTGCGGAGAAAATTTAAATCAAGAGAACGGGAGGGAGAAACGTATTAGGGAGCAGAATAATCGAATACATAAATGCAACTACCAAATGAAATATAGATATTAAATAAAATACAAGTACTGCATTGTATGCAGTATATTGATGCATATAAATACACTAACGCAAGCACAATTACAGAAATTCAAGCACAGTTACCGACATATACAAACTGGCAAATATTGAGGCAGGAATACAAATAAGCTAATAAATACATACGCTAATAAAATAATGAAAAATTGTTTACTGAAAAATAACTAAAACCATAAATATCGTGAAAAGGGTATTTGACAAAATGCAGTGAAATTATCTGCATTGCCATTAATAAAACTGATGTCATTAAGTTACATTACTCTCCTCTAAGCTTTTAAAGTAATAAGAGTTCATACTGTTATTGAAGAAGGTGTATGTAGATGCAAATTTTTGATGTGGATGCAGTCATGGTGATACTGAGTACAATTACAAATATATTCTGTATCTCTCCGATTTTGTCACAAAAGGCCTTCAACCAAGCCAATACAAATCATGTTGGCTTGGAAGAGTTGCGCGACTATATTTTTCTAAATTTAATTTTAATTTAAATTTTTTGAAAAAATCATATGTCATTCTGCCTGTCACTTCACAGTCGCATATTTTTTGCAAGATAGGTGAATATGTTCTCCGAACGTTTTAGAGTAGGAGCTGAATTTGAAATATATATACCGCATACCTTTTGATTAGTTCCAGAGAGTTTTGCTAAATAGTCTATTTTTTCCATAAAAAGCTTCAACGCAACCGAGGAACACAGTACAATGCATCCAGCTCCCTTCTTAGTTTTGAAGAGATTCCTGAAGGATTCTCGCATCACCTTCAGTTTCAGCCCTTCGACAGGACTTTTAAACTGATGAGTTTTTGAGATATTCTCACATTATGCTAACACCACAATCACAAATGCCCATTCTTTACACAGCCTTCGTTGCTTCATAAATAGAGGTAAAGGGGATCATAGACCACCATAATAAATCACCAAGCATTGTTTTCTGTTACTAGCCTTTTTTTCAGATGTAAATTTATATCTGTAAACAAAGGGTTTGTTGTTCTACACAATAGAATCAGCTCCGCTATATTCTGCAGCTCATCATTCATCATAAGTAGCTCATCACAAGTAGATCGTAATATGTTGTAAACTAAATGGAACAACTATATTATGATAGGATAACAGAAACAGGCTGAATTAGTTGGATTTGTACTGAGATGTTAGACTTTCCATCACTATCAAGCTGCATTAACTAGTGCTATTTACTTTTAGGCGATTTGTGAAATATGCATATGTATTACGCACAGTCTTACAGATCTGAATATATAAGAATTATACTATATTCTTATAAGCTCTGAATATATAAGAATTATATATTCTTCTATTATTATGCCTGAGACTTCACATAGTTCTGTCAAATGTGTTGCTAATTTAGTCATGATGTTATTTACTTTTGCTATCAAGTGCGTAGTCATGATCGGGCTGTTTTGAAAGCGAGCTTGTTGTTGGTCAAGTTCTTTAAATGAAATTCAGATGTTAAAGGACATTTAAAGATATTATAAACTGCGTCTCCTGTTTTACCATATACACAGATTTCTGTAGAGGCAATAGTTCTCACATGAGAATATGTCGGAAAAATTCCTATGCATGACATGTCCTATGCATGACAGTAACGAAGATTAAGTAAATATATGCAAAAACAATAGCTATATGCAAACACTTTTATTTTACAAAAAGAAATACTTTTATAGGAGCTGAAGAAAAAAAGGCAAGAATTTTAAGTTTTGTTCACGAGTATTGATCTTAAGTTGTTATTACAATTTCGCGGATAATATCCAGGAAAGTGTATCAATGTCTAGGAGAAGTCTTTTGCCCGATTCGAGGAAGTGGCGGGCGATCGGATGGATGGAAATTGGGATGTCATAAGCTGATGCTGCTGGACGTCAACAACCAAAAACAACAAACATTCTGAAGAATACAGGTCTGTATGCAAGACGATCAGTTGTTTGTGTCCTCTTGAACCAAAGACCCAGATGTGCCCGTTTATCTTGGGCAAGGGAACACGTCTCCTGGACCAAACAACAATAGGCGTCTATTCTCTTCACAGACGAGTCCAGGTGCACATTGGAGAGTCATTCGGGCTGTCAGATGGTCTGGAGTAAACAACGCACCAGATACAACTAATTCCACATTCTGGAAAGACACAATTACAGAGGTGGAGGAATAATGGTTTGGGTTGGGATCTCTCTTGGTGGTCACACTGACGTGCATGTATTCCATGGAGGAACTTTGACTGGTGTGAGATATCGAGACGAAATCCGTGATCAATATGTCCGCCTATATGTCTCTGCTGGTGGTCCTGCATTTCTTCTCATGGACGACAATGTGCAATCGCACCGAGCTCGGGTTGCTGAAGAATATCTTGAGGGTCACGGTATGGAGCAGATGGAATGGCCAGCTAAATCTCTGGACCTGAATCTGATAGAGCATTTTTGGGACTACCTTGGGATACAGGTTGCTGCTTTAAGTCCCCCTTCAAGTTCATTTGATGAGCTTGAACAAATATTACTCCGTGTCTGGTCGTTGCATCTCATTTCACTGACCGATAACTTAATTGACAGCATAGAACGTCGCTGCCGCTGTTGTATTGCAGCTAAGGGTGGACACATTCCTTATTAGACCCCATTTAAATTTTTTTGGGTTCTCCTGATTTGTCAATAAGTTCTGTAATATTCAGAATATCCTTACTTCTTTTGCAACTGATTGCAATACCTTTTTTCTAGAGTTTAACGCATTTATTTACAATTATTCCACAGCTTTTTAAAAGAAACGCTTTTTCCGGTTCTTCGGAAGATTCTTCAGAATGTTTGTTGTTTTTGGAAATGATAAAACTGCCGGGTCTTTTTTGTTAAGTGTGTGCTTTATCAGACTGTGAGAAACCGTCACCCATACTTTTAATAATGTTTGAAGAGGAATAAGTTGATTTTAACAGAGCTAAATTTTTTAATTTCTTAACGATTCCATCAGTTCTTCCTGGATGCCGCATGGTAGAGAAATTGATCTTCCTCTGCGGCGGGATTTATTATTTTTATTATTGAATCCGTAGACGCCATTTATATATTGCGTAAACAGGTTAATCTCTTTATGTGATCTTTGTTAGGAGCTGTTCAGTTTGTACATCTTTTGGAGTGCTAGATTCACAGCCTTTTTTTTGTGAGATTACTACGTAGCGGTCCGATAGTGACATCATGTATACGATAACACTGATTTATGAAATATCGTACTCCTTAGATTTCTTGGAAAAACTTATATGAGATATTGTTTCATCTTGATTCTATGTAATTATGTTGAAATAATTACCTGATATCGCAGAAGATTCTTCTTTATGAAGTATCATCAGGGATAGTTTTCAGTCTGTAGCCTGGAAAGAAATGTAAGAATTAATGTCCTTTTTAAGAATATTAAATATAAGCCGAACCACAAAAATCTAAAAAGAAAAACAATGATGAAAAGGTCAGTTCTCTGGATCAGACTTTAGAATATGACGTCAGTGATCGCCTCTGTGCATTATTATTGCATCCTTTTGAAAAATTTAAGTACAAAAAAAAAGAAAGTAATTTCCTTCTGTGAAATACTTGCTACTTCGTCTTCAAATAATTGATTGGGGGATGAACTATTACATACACTAAATTGTACTATTTGAGAAGTGATGCAAATTATTCCTGTTAGCATAAACTTCCATAAATGCACTTAATTACAGTTATCAAATTACGGGCCAAAATTTACTGTTAAGTGCTAAAATGATCAAAAAGGTAGCGCTTTCATCTGCAGATGATTTTATCATGCCTTGATTCCCGATCAAAGCTTATCACAGCTGTATAAGAAAATTGCAGACTGAACTGCAGGCATTTTTGTTTCTATGGTCATGTGAAATAATTTAAGTATATTTCACTTAAATCACTTCTAAACGAAAACTATACGAACTATTTCTATACGATTATATACAAAAAATATAAAATAGGCAGTTGAAAACTTTTATTTTAATCAAAAATTTAAGCAGTTGCTAAAGGATTTGAAAACATTTCCTTTAAAATAACTGGATGTCACTGTTTGACTAGTTTTCTACTTCATTGTTCACCTCAAGATGATACAGGTATCAGAAAAAGATAAAAATATTCTGGTTTATACTTAAGTTTTTTCCCTTAATGTGTTTTGCAATATTTATAATCAGATAATCATCCTAAACTTATATTTTTTCTTTAATCGTTTAATCGTAGGAAAAAAATAAAACTATTGCGTTATTACCACAGATTTGTCAAGTAACACCAATGGTTGGTTATTTGAATATGGCAAAGCACACGAGAGCTATATGCTTAAAGGGAAGGATGCATTTCTAAGAAAGAACACTTAAAAGGAGTTTTAAGGAGAACTGGAGGAGAGAAAACACCTTATATATGGGAAAAACGACGAAAACCAACCACGCAGCCAGCCCATTCGCGTGCGTTCGAATATAGGAACCCTTCCATCATTCAGCGGACTTGAACCGCTCGACAAATGGTAGGGTCCGTAATACTAATTACGAAAGATGGAACATAGCATACTTTTGTAACAAGATTAGGAAATATATTTTAACTGCTAATATTTTAAAATTCTACTAATATTCTTACATTTTTTACTAAAAATTAGTTTGTCTAAAGCTGAAAATATGTGCATAAAATATTAAAAAATTAGCTCATGATATTTTCATTCTTAGAAGGAAGTAGACCGTGGCGAAAATTTCTTTGATATTATAGGGGTACGTTTTTCAAAATATCCTAGAAGAGCTAAGATTGTCTAGTTTTAATGTTAGAGTTAGCGTGCTTCTTTCATATTTACATTTGAAAATAAATGGATTTACAATATAAAAATTGCTATAAAAAATACAAATTAAACTGACATAAAAATATACTTTTCCAAGGAAGATCACTTCAGTTTAGAACACATTTTCATAAAACTGAAAATGTGAGGCATTCTGTATCTTATTAAACATGTTATATTTAAGGAATTTTAATAAAACTCTTAAGTATTTCATATGATTTACAATAATATTGATGAAAAAAATTTCGAGATGATAAAAAATCTGCTGAAGTCCTTAAACGTGTAGAGTAAAAATTAGCATTACAATAAAACCATGAACACTGGTAGTTCGGTCCGGAGTTCGAGTCTTGGGAAACGGGCTGGCTGCATGGGCGTTTTCGTGGTTTTTCCTATGTATAACGTGGATACAAGTCAGTTTCCCTTAAAAAGACCTCCACGAACCGTCCCTCCCTTTCCTTGTAGTGCCTAAGGGTAGGGCACGTAATAAGTAAAAGAATAAAACTTGAAAAAGTACTCAGCCTGAGAATTCATATGCATTGCACGCTATTTTCTATAAACACAGCTAAATATCACAAAGGAAAGGAATAATATTTTTTTAAAAAAATATCTTATATATTTAAAATTAATATTGCATAGTAGATGCTTTCTACTGTCTTTGTTTACTTCTCTAAACTTGTTTAACTCTTCTTATAACTTTTATTATTTTGTTTTAAATTATCTGTTTCAAGCTTTAATAAACATTTTAAAATTCATTTCATTTATCACAACTGTAATTAATTAGTAAGAGCATTTTCTTGTGGAATATTATTTACAAAAGTTAAATTATTTGTATGGATCGTGATCGTACGTTGACGTGAACGTTGTATGAATCGTACAAAGGGTTAATTGTTTGTATGGATTGCGCTTTTAAAAAATGCTCGATAAAATGTCTTATCTAGGAAACTCTCTCACTTAGAGGATTCTACAAACTGTTACACTGAATTGAGAATAAAATGCTTCAATTCAGATTGAATTAGAAATATTATACTACAGCACTTCCCTCGATACTCTTTTTAGGTTCCCTTTGTTGTTCCAAATCTCTTATCATTCTCAGCAAATTAAATTACGTTGCAAGAGAATTAGGTATGAAAATCCCGGGTATTCCGATTTGAACGAAAAAAAGATGTTCCCCGCTCAGGAGATCAACAGAAGTTGAATTGATTAGGCACCTGAATATGAGGTAGCGAATAGTCGGACAAAAGGCGATACGAGTGGTGAATTTTGTGAGAAGACATAAAAATTCAAACAAAGCACAGCAGGTAAAAAACCTTCATAAAATTTAGCCTTCTTCAATTCTTTTCAGCTCCCATACATGAATGCGTAATATTCCTTAGGGATCTGAAAATAATGGCCACGGAAAAGTAGCACAGCACCGGAAAAGTAGTTGCGCAGCTTAGAAAATAGGACTAGTATGAAAAGGGAGTTGCTGGCTTTCATGGACATCAAGAGAAAGCCCAGAGCTCGTGTTCTGCCAAAAGAATAAAAAATAATGCTTTCAAAGAGATTTCGAAATACTTTATATATCTTTAGGAAGGCGAAAATGTTAGGCAAATTATCTGCAAATAAATATATAATAAAAAAAGTACTCTACATAAGGGTGATCATTTTCCTGATAGCAGTGCAAAGATTTGAAAGGTAAAATAATTATGTCATAAAAACGTGGTTTATAACAGTATAAATACTTTCCCCTGCTTTGCAAGTTACTTTGTACTTACCATCTTTGTACATTGCAAATCTCTATTTTTTCTTCTAGTAGTATACAGACAATCGAATGTATTAAAATGTTAATTTTTTATAATTCTAGCTACACTGTGTTTTCGAAGTTAGAATTGGAAAGTCAGTTTGAGTGTGTTTTATCAAATGTGCTTGCGTATAAGGATGAGTCCAAAAGTATTGATAAACAAGCGTAAGAAGCTTATAAAAAAGACAGTTCAGAACACGAAGTGTAGAATAGGTGACCGTGTTCTGTGACGTCAAATTGAATCAACGTAAGCTTTTGAAGCTAAGGAACCACAGAGCGAAAGCGATCACGATGATGGGGAAAGACTTCCAATTCATTGCTGTATGAATTGCTTGAGAAATTTGAGCATACGAATGCCAAACACATATATGATGGAAGATAAAGTTGCAAATTAGTGAAAAGATTCAGTATACGTTAAATTGAATGAGCGCACTGTTTTGTATTTTGTGTTGTTATGCCTTTGTGTTTATTTTTATTGTGTTTTGTATTACGTCAAATTTTCTCCAGAATGCGGTATATCTATTCTGGGCAATTGTTTTCTTTTGCTTTAGTTTACGGTGATCTGAGTATGTAGTCATTTATTTTCACAAAGAGCTCTGAAGAGAAAGAGCATATCCTCTTCTAGAGCTTTCCGGACTTGGCAAAAATTTGTATACCTTGCAAAATGTGGCTGTTTCGAAACAAGTTTAGAATTTTTGGTTTGAAGGATCTGCGAGTAATTTTTTATGCACATTAACGTCCTTAAATGAGATACGATTATATAACTTACTTAAGCGAGATATGCACATATAACTTGCTGCTTAAATTCCTTTTTGGTCTGTCTTACCAAGATTTGCTTTCGCTTTTCTTTTGCATTCCTTCACAGTTTCTTTAAGCATTCGCTTTATTGGTATATTCTCTTGAACTGAGCAAAGTTTTTAAGCTCCTTTTTCACACTGGAGTACTTTCTTTCAAGAACATCCCAAAATCATTCAATACCTTTAACGGGTTTTATGATTTGCTTGACTTTTTGGTGTTTGTGTCTTTTAGTGTAAGATTTTAAGCCCAGATCTCTTCAATTTAATGAGCAGGTGATTTCCATATATTCAGTTTTCAAGCAGGGTACAGAGCAGAAATTTGCAGTTTTTCGATGCACTTCTATTTAACAATTTTCATAGTCTGTGTTCTACATTTTCGACTTACTTTTCCAAGTTTCTGTTTGACATTTAAATATTGTTGCTCTTCGTTTTAAATATTGTTGCTCTTCGTTTCGTTGCTCTTAGTTTTAAAACTCAATAAATTCTTGCCTTTGATATTTTAGTATACTTGTGATGTTTAATCATAGCATTTTTGCTTCTTTTGGCATCACAATTTTAAAAGTATATTTTTTGGTTCTTAATAGCTTTTGTTAAATGTGCTGTGATTTTAGAAACACTTCTAGTATTCAATTTAAATTGCTATTGCTTTGAATGAAAGAAATCGTTGTTACCATGGCAAATTGAAAAAAAAAAAGTGCATATTGATCTTTATTGGCCCATACGTAACTAATGCAGTGGTCTCAGCTTTATCTGGAATCCTCTTTATGAGTAAAACATTAAATGAAGCTCAAAAAAATAAAATTAAAAGATTATAGATAAACATTTTACTAACATTTAATTCATGTCTTTGCTTTATCAACTGTTTAGTATCTAAGTTTAACCATTTTGAATGGTTTGTTTTGCCTGTTTTTATGAAAAATTGTTTTGCAAATGCAGTTCTTACGAAAACGTTTCAGTCATACTGTTAGATTTTATATTAAGCTTTACATTTTATCTTAAGCTTTTATCTTAAGCTTAAGCCTGTCGTTTCTGCATTAGTTTTCATTTCACCTTACTTAAGACGTACGTAAATTTAATTACTATAAAAAATGACGCAAAATGCGTAGGAATGTAGTTATTCGCTTATAGCCTTGAGAAGTTGCGGCGTTTAACGGCGTAAGTGGTTTCACTCGCTCTTTTTCATTGTAACAGCCATTTGCTTGCAGCTAGTGTGCTTCAGCAAATTTTTAATAACATAGGGTTTCAGCCCAGCAGCCGCCGAACGGTACAAGCCGCTGAACACTGGTAGTTTGGTCCGGGGTTTGAGTCCCGGTAAACGGGATGGCTGCATAAGCGTTTTCTTGGTTTTCCTCATGTGTAACGTGGATAGGAGCCAGGTGCCCTTAAAAAGACCTCCACGGAGTATCCCTCCCTTTCCGTGTAGTGCCTAAGGGCGGAGTACGTAATAAGTAATATATATATATATATATATGGGGTTTCACTGGAGTGCATATAGGGACACCCAAATAATTTGTAATCAAATAATAGAAGTATTACTTTAAGCGCATTTTTATTTTTATTTATACAGAGATGAAAGAAGGAGAACATCTGGAACTGGCCTTGAGTCATGAAGGTTGTCATCTGAATTAGATAATATTTTGAGATGGTCTAATTATACCTGTTGTTAGTGCGTGATTAAAACATTGGTTTTTACGAAAATTATATTTCAAGCTTTTTATTTGGTAAATTGGACTTTCTTCAAATTTTTCATATCCACGAAAATTTATCGTATTCAGGTAATGAAATAAAGATCAATAAATTGCTTCCTAAAGCTTTCAGGATTTTAATATTTAAGCGTTTCATGTTTCATTAATTTTGTTTTTCTTTGACAGACGGCGTTACGTTCTGCTTTTGCTTTGCTTCGAATTGCTTTCAATAAAAATGTTATCCCTCCTCCTATTTTAGGAAAACAATACGCCAAATTTAAGCCAAAATTCAAAATGTACGCCAAATTAAATTTGCTCTTTTGTCATATTTTAAATTGGCGCACTTTTGTTTAATTAAAAGAAGGTATCTCACAGATAACCACGTCTGTTCAAAGGTTAAATAACAGATTTATTTAAACCGAAATTCAACTAACTTTAAAAAATTAGGTAAATTTATTAAGGCAAAGAAACCCGAAAGCTATTTCTGTACGGGAAGGTATACTTTCACAAAGGATTTTATAAGGGAAACTGGCTAGTATTTACATTACACACGGAAGAGTCTCTTGCAGTTGACCTGTTCGCCGGAATTCGAACTCCTATTGAAGTGCCACCTTTAAACGACCTTACCGTTCGACAGTTGGTAGGCATAGAAATTTAAAGAATATATGATGTGAATGTTAAAAATCAGAATTTTCACGACAAATGGAAAGCTTCCAAAGACATTTTACGCGATGGAGTACTTCTAGTGTAATATCAATTCAAAAAAAGAATTATTCAACTTAGAAACTACTTCCAGCACTAAGGCATTACAATATTAGTTTTCGAATACAGTTAGCAGATTTATAAAATAATGCACTGAAATTTAAAAATGTCTGTGAAAAAAATGTAACTTTCGACCCATTCTCTAACACCGTTATGCGTTGCAGTTATATGTATTATTTCTCTTCTCTAATGTTCACTTTAGACTGTTCAGATATCGATTGAAAGAGTAGGAAGCCTTACAAATTCTAAACGATAGTTTCCTTAGTCAGCGGAGAGATTGGATTAAACATTTTGTTCACAGGAGTGGAAGCGATACTTGAGGCTTAACAACCTGAGACTTTAAAATAATAAATTATCATTGACGAAAATTTTTATAACTACTTAGTTGAGCGTTCATAAACAAACATTTAGATATATCATTTTAAAATTAAGAAATACGGTTTTAGCAGAAGAATTACTATTTGAATTTTTAGCTAAAGTTATTTTACCTCTGCGAAGTTCCCGAAGAATGTTTGTATATCAGACAGTCATCCCTCCAGTATTTGTTGGTTACTGGTTCCGGATTCAAATCCTAGTTAAAGAAATTGGATGATTATATTTCAAGGAATTTGGTTTTTATTCTGTTACATGATTTGATATCAGCATGCGATTAGCGATTTAATATCAGCATCCACACGACGATTATTGAGCAATATACGCAAGGATCGATGAGTGTAAAAGAAAGCTCTGCTACACAAGTTTACTTGAAGGAAAATGTGACTACGAAGAGGTAAGTTTCACATCAAGACTAGGTCTATTGAAAATAATGTATTTCTTTTTGTCTGTTGAAAATAAGGTGTAAATTAGTTGCTTAGAAATAGTAGCGTTTTTATTTTAGACTTGAAGTTTTCATTTTGAATCGATTCATAAGATCTTGAATAATATAAGTATTTTAAAAAGATTAGATTTTAAAGTTTTATTTAATTTTTTCCCTGACGAAAAGGATAAATATTATAAAGACAAGTACAAAAATATTTCACCATAATTAATACTGATTTTAAAGGACAGAATAAATAAATAAATATAAAACGTTTCAAATATTGTATCTTTACTTTGCAGCTAAGATTACGCAACATTTCGTATTTTATTTATTAAAGCATAATGAATAGCTTACTAATTGGAGACTTTGCTTTGCTGAGACATCCAAAAAGTTTAATTATATGTCTAGAAAGGTTGTGAGATTCCTTCCTTTGAGTTACTGCTAACTGTGTGGAACTTAAGAACTGGTAAGCGAATAATCGCTTAATTCAGAGAGATAGAAACGTAAACGTACGAAGGGTTAATTGCCTTTTATTATTCAAAATAAATTTAGCAGTCGACTCCTTCTTGGAGTTTACAACAAAGCCTCCACTTGGGCTTGAACGCAGGAATACTAAGAAGTAAAACTTAACTAAAAAGATATAGCCGAAGCTATCAAGATTCTAACAGAGTTGGTTCCTTAACGTTTATCAAGGGCATAAAGTACAGCCGAGCGTAATTATAGCTTAAGAGAGAGTAGCCTAAAAGGTGAACGCGCGCTACTCAGAATATCTGGCTCTTTAACGAAGTCAGTAGAACTTCAAAGTTAAGTACTTCTCCTCCTCATTTGCATTTGACCGCGGTTCTGAAAATACGTTCTGGCCGGAAGTTGTAAGCTGAAATTAAAAATACAGAGGAAAGTAACTTTAACTAGAAATTAACTGTTAGAAAATGTGGTATAAGCTTTACAAGGTTACTCTCCCTCATTCTTGAAAGTGCTTTCATAATATTCTTTACCTTGTTTTGAGAAATTGCCTAGCAGGATTTAAAGAAATAAATAAAATGCTCAAGTAGTTAAAGCATTAAATATAGAGGGTGTCGCAAAATTAACGCAGAATATAAATTGCGTCAAATTATTACCCGAATATCGTATGAGACATAGAGGAGATTTTGCATGCGTAATGGATGCATTTACTTTTTCAAAGCATGTCCCAACTTTATCAATTCACACATAAATAAAGGTTAATTTTATAAATTTAAATCCCAAGTTATTTTTGGGACATCCTTTATAAAGCACCAGTTTTTGAATTTCTGCTTTTGAGTGATACTACAAGTTTAATTCTTATCTGAAAAAACATGCTAATATTCCTTCTAGTCAGCATCTTGTAATGCATTTGCCAATTACTATTATTGTTATTTATTATTTATTTTTGCTATTATTATTATTATTTATTTGTTATGATTATGATTATTTATTTGTTATGATTATGATTATTATTTTATCTGTTATGATTATTATTTTGTTTGTATATATGTTTATTTTAAATTTTACTCTGCTTTAATTAATTGTTCATTTATGTATAAAGTTTTTTTTTTCCTAAATTACGCTAGCATTGTAACTTTACTGGCTGTCCCTTCACTTCCTGTTTTAGCCGTCATGACTTCCCCCCTTTTTTGTTTTAAGTTTACAAAGCTTTCTCTAAGTTTAGCCTTTCCTCTCAGCCCCTTTTAGTCGATAGGCTTTGCTTCATTTCGCCTGTTCCCCTTCCTTTAGCCGTAATGACTCTCCCCTTCTTAGACTAGTTTTTAGGCTTTTTGTTTCTTTCTTTCCTCTTTAGCCGAAAGGCACCCCTCCTCTATTTAGCCGCTGGCTTTTTTTTTTTTTTTTTTTAAAGCTCTTTTGCTTAGTTGACGTGCTCTTGCCCTTGTTTTAGCCTATTGGCTTTTGCCCACTTTGGGTAGTTAGCACCTGCCTAATCCTCCTGTCTCCTCCTGCCTAATCCGGAGTGAGATAACGGAGTGGTTAGAAACGTGGATTCCAATCGTTACACTTTAACAATCGTTTTGTAACAATTAGAATAATTACAAAACACCGCAGTTGCTTTCAGTAGCAGGAGCGGTTATAAGAGTTTGTTGTTGTTGTAGCTTCAAATCCTACCTAAGTTTACTCTAAGCAAAACAAAACTCAGTGGCAAAACAGCCCTCAGAGAGCCATAGCCTGCAGTGCCCTGGTATCTGCTTTCTTGACTGTGGGCGCCGGAGTGCATGATATGCCTTGGACAAGTTCTCAGCTTACCGCAGGACCCTGGCGTTTAGTCCCCAAGCGAACCTGGTACTCTTTTTATCTACCTGCTCAAGGGATGAAAGGTTAGGTCAAACTTGCCCAGCCTGGGGATCGAACCACGGACCTGTGGTAATGCTGCGAGATACGCTAGCCACTGCGCCACCGGGCCTTCTTAAACATACTGTAATAACTTTTATTTTCGTAACTAGCTAATATCTAATCGAACGTCAAATAACCGCGCGAAAGTTAAAATTAAATTAAATTATTTTCTAAAACTTTTAGGTTAATCTTAAAATAAATACAAGGTATTCAACTGTTAAAAAAGCAAATGATTTAAATAGACGAAGATACAATTTACATTTCTTCTAAAAAACTTGAATTCACATTGGATTCCTCCATCTAATCCTAAAACCTTAAAAAGAAGAAACAGTCTATCATCGCTCAAGAAAGTACTAGCACGTAAAATGCTAGCAGGGATAAGGATGCCAGAATAAACCGAAAACTAGTTTTCTGTTACTGTACGCTCTACAGGTCATCGTTTCGACCCACTGTTATGAATGTATCCAATTTGCATTCTGACGAACGCTGGTGGAAAAGTAGATGAATAAAAGAATTAACATAAAATAGTGTGTTAGATAAAATAAACTTTGTACTCGTTTCCACTCAAATTAGGATAATTCGAAACGAAACTCTTTAACACCCTTGGTAGACAGTTTCTAATTTTAATTTTCTCTTAACGAAGCTGGTAATAAAAAAAAACTTTTACATTACTTGTTCTTTTACAAGATCTCTCTGAACTGAGTTTGAATATTTATGGAAACTTCCATGTAACTTTTAGATAATTTGATGTAAAATTAAAGAGTACAGGAGATATGTGAAGTCAGACTCTCAGTCAAGGAAAGGCTACTCAACTGAAGTAGTGCGTCCTTGTATAAGTAACTGTATTGTATTATTGTCATATTTCACAAATAATGATGGTATGATGTAAAATATGTATAAAGAAGAAAAAAGTAAAATCCATATATTTGAAAAAAGAATTAAAAAATAAATAAAATCTGCCATAAATTAGATACAGTCATGTCCTTTTCCAGAATCATTCCTGTGGGAATAAAAATCATAAAGACATTGATAAATCCATAGATAGCCTTAGAATCATGTCTTTCCTTAAGCTGTCCTCTAAATATGCTTATATGGTTCAGATAAGTTGCGTAGATCGATTTTATCAGACGCGCGGCTAACATACGTGAGAGACAGAAACGGCGATTACATTGTCACCCTCAACATAGTACTGATACATCGGGAGCCAATACATCCATAGGGTTCATTGCAATGATCGATAGGTAAGAGAGCTGATCTACAGGGAGCTGTCGTACTTTCGATTCCCTTCAGAGAAGATGGGAAAGAATTAGGTCACGGTCACGATCTCACATTCGTCCACTCTTATTCATTGCATCAATGACGAAAACTTCTCTCCATCTTGTTTCTTGTCACACGAACTCAAGCCATTATTCGCTTATCAGTTATTAAGATACTTCACGCTCAAATGTAACGTAGCATTTACAAGTGGGGAGCTCTACACAATGTTTAATTAATAAAGAAGTCAATAGAATAACTAATGATTTAAGAAATGAACCCAAAGGCGAAAATGGTTTCTACAAATTCCTTCATTTCCGGAGGGAAATATGAATAAATTAAAAATGAAATAAATAATAATAATTTATAAAGCCGTTCCTTTCCCTCGACGACTTCTGTTACCCACAATTTTATTACGGCCCCTTTCAGTTTTAAATAATATGTAAAACTAGGCTGGTCACTTTACAAAGGTCTGCTTTAACTCTAGAATTAATTATCTTCGGTACTACATAACTTATCAAATGTGTTATAAGCTGAAATATCTGTAATGAATTCAGCAGTGCCGCTAGGAACTGCAAATAACATTTCTGGTTGCACTATTTCCGAAAGAACAATTTTTATGAGTTTTTCTATAAAGAGTTGTAAGAATTATGTTAATTTTATTAACAGTTAAATTTTGAGTTAAACTTCTTTCCTGTCAAATTCTTAACTTACTTCTGGCCAGAACGTAGTTTTAGAATCACGTCTGAATATATATAATGAGGAGGAACGGTATTTAACCGCGAAGTTCTACTTGCTGAGTTAGAGAGAATCAGAGTTTCTGATTAGCGCGCGTCCGCCTTTTTTTCTACTCTCTCTCTCTATTATGCTCGGCCGTACTCAGGCCCTTGATAGCTTCACAGTCATCTCGTGTTTAAGGGGCCAACTCCATTAAAACTTTGATACCTTCAGCTATATCTCTTTAGTTTAGATTAGTTTTAGTTTACTTCTTAGCCGCTTAAGTTAAAGCCCAAGTGTGGACTTTTATTGTAAACTCTAATGGAGTTCTGTTAAATCTTATTGGAATAATAGTTATTTATCCTACCATCTTGTTTCTTGTCACACGAACTCAAGCCATTATTCGCTTATCAGTTATTAAGATTCTTCACGCTCAACTGTAACGTAGCATTTACAAGTGGGGAGCTCTACACAATGTTTAATTAATAAAGAAGGCAATAGAATAACTAATGATTTAAGAAATTAACCCAAAGGCGAAAATGGTTTCTACAAATTCCTTCATTTCCGAAGGGAAATATGAATAAATTAAAAATGAAATGAATAATTATAATTTATAAGAATTCACTTAGTTTTACCAAGCAGCTATTTATGTTAATGTGCTTTACTGCCTTTCTCGTTTCCCATTTTCCTGCCAGAACGTCTCATTTCAGGGGGGACTCATTTCAGAACGTCTCATTCATTCAATAAAATCAGAGCGTGTTCCGCCAGCTGAAGGACACCTTGATAATTGATTCTCTTGAGAGCAGTATTTTGCGGCGGTATGTTATTCTCGTCATTAGGCTTGTCACGCCCACATTAGATCAGAGCCAACTTGCGCGTTCTCTTTGTAGCTGTTGGGCTAACTTACCTGTTATTTAGTTACGTCTAATTGGTTACTTTTGTTTTCAGCCATAAATTCTGGCTGTTCTGTAAGCACGAGCATCTGTTAACCTTTATTTGAGTTAAATAAAAGGGTTCTTTTACACCCTTTCTTAGTCTCTGTGGTACTTCACAAGACATAGTGATAATTCATTTAGGTCTTAGAATTCTCGTCTAGTCCACCAAAGAACACGGGACTCCACAAATTAATAAACAAAATTTAAATAAATAATAATAATAATAATATTAACAATAAAGTAAGATATTATGTGGAAAATAAGCTAAGATTTTCGAACTGATTGCTTTGCTTTGAATTATTAAACTTCAGTTTATAGCTAGTTTTGTGACTCATTTTATTTTATTCAATTCTTCGGATACATAATAATCAAATATTATTAAAGCGAAATAATTATTTCTTAAACATTAATCAGATATTTAAGGAATTGGTAAATAATTAAAAATTCCTTAAATACTGTAACACTCTTTCTTTTATTCTTATTTATTCAATTATTTTATATAACATTGTTTGATATGCTTCGCATAAAAAATACTTTTGTCCACTTTTGCTTTCTTTCAAATCGTTAGACCATTTCACTCTGTTAAAACGTTTAAGCGAAACACACACTCGCGCAATGCAGTTCGTAATGCGATGGCAAATAACTCTTACGTGATGGCTCAATGATTTATAATAGGCTTTACAAGTGCTCTTTAGAAACTATATTATGTGAAAACTTAACTATGAGTCTAAATAATAAAATGTTTTTACAATTTATCTTAGATAAATGTAAAATATTACAGTTTCGTAACTTTTAATTCATTTCCGTCTCAAAATATCTTTATCTCACCACAAATAGATATAAATGAACCATCGTTAACAGTTGTAAAAGTTTCCAAACAAAAATATTTTGAAGAAGTTCCTTACGTCGCTTTGGAAACGCTGCCTTTGGTTGGACAGAGATTTCTCAAGGGATGTTTCAGGTTGCCATGACAACTAAGATAGAAAAAGGTGGGGGGTAAAGGGAAGACGTTTATTGAAGAAGAAATATTGCGCTTTTCAACCGCTACCCAAGATGGATTTACCCTTTCACTACAAAGTTCTCTTCTCCCCTTTGGCCCAGTTCTGATGGATGGGCTCAAATAGCAATTTCATTTCCACATTACTTATTTGTTCGCACCTAGTCCACTTCTCAACAGAAGAAGGTTAAAAAAAAAGACATCTTGATTACTCAATAAACGTCATCAGTTTTGGATTTAAAATCAGGTATTTTTAAAATTACTTTCCCGCTTCATTTTTGCCATAGAAAGCAAACATTGCGAGCAGATTTATATATATTGGAAGAAAGAATACAAATGGAGTAAATTGCCTTATAAAATATTGTTTTACTTATTTTTTGATTCCCTCAGAAAGCGATTTTATTTATGAAATGAGGATTACAGATACAATTTTACTGATGCCCTTAATTTGGGTTACTTAGATATTTTGTCTAAAACTGATGGAGTGGATAAACAACCAGAAAGCTGAATAAGAAAAAATAAAGTCTCATAGATTTTAAATAAAACCCCATATTGATTTGACCTGCAGTACTGAACAGATAGAAGACGTGATTGCTAAAGACGATTTCACTGAGTACTTTCCTGTTTCCAAATCAAAGATATTATTCATTGATTGGTTATTTTATTATAGTTTATATAATGTTACTGTTAAAAAACATAGTAATTGAATTAAATATTTCCTTATTTAATTGCACTACTGTATTCCAGAAGTCTATGTAAAATTAATGCGCTGTGAATTTTAAAGTTGCGAAAATTAAAAAACAAAAAAACAACAACAAAAAAAAAAAACAGACTATTCTGCTAATAAAAAGTAACTAGAGTTTCTTCTTTACAAAAATACCCATGAAGTCATATCCAAGATTATTTTACCAGGTAAGTAACTCATTAATTTCTGTATGCGTCCAATACATACGGCATTTTTGTGGCAGGCTGTGATAGAAAGATGAAAGTATAAAAAGTGATTTCAAATTTAGAATAAGCGCTAGATCTGTTTATGTAGCATAAAGAAATATTAAGCTTGGAAAGTTTTAATAATGTTCTATTGCAAGGTTAATTTAGATAGACAACCATGGAAGAAATTAAAGACTTTCCTCTCATGTTATTTTGTACACTGATCAACATGTCAATTTAGTAATATAAAGGGCCAAGTTCAAATGCTGGAGCACAATCATTTTCTCAAGGCTGTTCTCTCCCTAAACATCTAATATCTTTCTGGTAGCGCCCAATTTAAACTGTGTGAACAGTGATTCACCAGCGGCTTTGAGTGGTCGGTTAACGGTTGCTTCCGCCTGCAGTTGTTAAGGTAGACCAAAATGCAAGGAACTAGAATGCTTTTCTCGTGTGCTCTATTGGTGTAGCGGCCAACATATCAACCTGATAATCTGAAAAGCCATGCTCAGTCTTTGACAAAGAGATAGCCACTTTACATAAAGTTCTTCACTTCTTCAACTTCCAAATTCTTAACAGATAATGAAAGTGATTGCAATTTTGAATCAGTCATTAGAGGAATGTAATAAATCAAAGGTACCAGTGACTTCTGTATGTTCGCAAATTCAAGTTCTGTATAGCACTTCTTAAGTGCAATAAAGAGATGAACATGCTTTAAGCAGCATATCAGAATTTTTAAATCAAGAAATACATTAACCTTGAGGTTTTATTACGCAAATATCTGCAAACTGTTGTCTATCCTATGCATCGCAACAGCTATGGGCTAACTGGAGAGACTGCAGTTTGAAGAAAAACTTATAATGTATTTTATTGATTAATTATAGAGAAAATCTGGGGTAATCTACATATTAAGAGAAAGACCTTCTTAAAAACTTTTAATGGAATCTGTCTCATATTTATATTACCCCCACTGCGAAAACTCCTTGCTGCCGCTTCAACCATCAAGACATCATTTAACAGTTTTCTACGTCTTTAGCCATTTGATCTCTCTCGCGGATGTTTATAAAGAAGAAATATGAATCTCGGTGGCTTATAGAGACACTGACCACCGTTTCGTGCATCATAAAAGTAAAATTCCTATTATATACAACCAATCCAGATTTTGAAAAACTGATTGCTTCAATATCGAAGCATTCTGCTGTACCCAGATTGGCTGAGGCCAGTCTGCAGTCTCTGGCCATCGCAAGGACTGACACTCGTGATGTTACATTACCTTGACAGAAGGGAGCGATGTCTCGCAACAGGTATCTGCCTGTTTGAATGGAAGAAATCTTATTCAATGACTAGTTTTTTGTAGACCCTGAATGACACTGGTACGGATATTCATGGAGTAAGTGTTCTAAGATTCTAAGAATACCTGTCGACTGAGCCTATCCTGATGCTGTCTCTGAGTGTGGAGTCACGTGTTATCAATATCAACTGCCGATCAGCTCTGGTTCTTTTTACGACAATCTAGGTCCGTCATGCTTGAGCGCAACAGAAATTTCGAGGCCTAGACTAAATGTTATTTTTAGCCCAATACTTGGATCATCAGCAGATAAGTTAGTACAAGCATTTGAGGTGCACAAATGTTAGACACGACGCACATACCTCTCTTCTTTTGAGAAGCTGGGACGCATTACAACCCATCAAGCGAATGTCTGTATTCGATGCCATCCAAACAAAGATGAAACGTGAATCCTGTTCAGCTACCACATGGCTGCAAATTTTTTAGGGTCCAATTCGAAGCTTTAAAAGTATATTTTGTTGTCAAATCAGATTAATTTGAAACCATACAATTAAAATTATAATTCACAAACTACCTCTTTGTGCTTTGTAAGCAAAGCAGTTTTGTATTTTTGTAAGTACTGGTTTTCTATTCTTTTTCTACGGTATGGCATCTTCTCTGTCAAGAAATCGTTATTAAAGTTTTGGTTTCACGCGATTATAAAAACAAGTGATCCATGATAACTAATGAGTATACATTTAAAGAATGTTTATCAGGTGTCAGCACTCCTAAGAACATTATTTTATGTAATAGCTTGCGTTACCTTAAAGTTTGCGTATATTTCTCAACATTTCATGATTCTTACTGTAAGTTATCAGATTATTTTCAGTTTTCACGTCTAAAACTAATCTCCTTCTGAAGTAAGTTTCTCTTTTTTACAGAATTCGAAAGCCAAAAACGAAGAACCAAAGAAGTAAGTAAAACGTTTTTTCATCCAGTCTATATAATTTCAGACTATAATTTGTAAACATAAAATCTAAATGAATTTAAAATTAAAAAGATGATTTTAGACATTTTTAATTAATTTTGATGTATAGTGTGTTTGAAAAGTAATTACCACTGAGACAGTTTCTTCTTCGTGGAGAAATAACTGGGGTATTGCTTCAGAAAACTGCTTTGTCACTAAAGTCACACTCACATTTTTTGCTTTATACGTTACTTTTTTATATGAATTCTGTACTTGCATTCGTTCTGCTAATGTGTATTATCTAATACTATAATTCTGACTTGTAGATATTATGTTTTATTGTCTCATTACTTTACTAATTTAAATACTTTTAATCAGTAATATTTCTTCTGTGTTAGCTATCTATGAATCAATTTTTAATAGTGGGGCACAAGTTTGTAGAGTCAATAGGTTACTTGGAAGCAGAAAACATGAAAAACGAGCAATGCTCTTGCCAGGACTCGAACCTAAACCTCTCCAATACGCGTCGTGTGTACTGCCGTTACACCACGAAGGCATGCTGGATGGAGGGAGAAAATACCTTATAAGTTAAAAAATTGCAATAAGAATAATAGAAAATTTCCTAAGCAAGACTAAAACTATGTGTAAAGTGCTGATAATACAAAATACACCAGCATTGTAATAACTACATTACCATTTTGTCAAGGAAAACAATAAAACAATATAAATCGTCAAAAGTGTAATGAGTATCACATGAGAAAAATCTAAGATGTCAAATGTTAGAAAAGTAATGTTTCCAATGTTTGTCATTGTAACCTATAGCCATATAGAGTGAGACACTTCTTCCTTGCATGGATTATTTCAAGCCTGTTCTAGTACTTACTTGTATACTTGTCTTGTTCATATGAAAAGAGAAATTCGTCATAGCTGGGTGCTTTCATTACACTCATTTATAACAAGTGATGATGACATTGAATTTACAGATTTGATATCATTTGTCATATATTTATGAACGGTGTCAGTAACTATGTCTTTCTGAAATAAACTAGAAATCTCTGAAATTCTTAACAGGACGTTTAGAGATTTCTGGTCTCACACATTTATCACACTATATTCCTTTTGCACTACACAGCTCATAAAGAGTGCCATGTGTTTTTTCTGGCATTATGCATCATGTGAAATATGCGAATATCACATGAAAAATTATCGAATACCATTAAAATAATGAGTAACTTGAATTTCAAGAAAATTAGTGAATGGCACATATATTCTTAAAGCTTCAGAATTTCTACTTTAATTGAAACGTACATTTATGCTTTGAGATTAGGTACATCGCTTTTCCGTTATTTCAGCCAGATATCATATACTCTTCTACAACACTTAGCATTGACACAGAACTTACCTTGACATATTTATGAATAGTGTCAGTAATTGTGTTTTCCTGAAAGAAATTAGAAATTTTTGAAACACCTAACAAAAGTTTTACTCTTTAATATTGCTTTTCTTGTTAAATAAAAATGTTAAATAATTTTTGTTAAGCAAGTTAAAAAAAAGAAATAGTTTTGAAAATCTGAGGTTTACAGTAAAAATATATAACGGCATTGTTAAGCATGATTTTGTGTTTGCAGTCATTTTATGAAAAAGCTTGTGAATTCAAGTTGCATTTAATAGAACGAGCATTAAACTAGATTAAAATTCGCATATTGATACATTAAAAGACTATTACATATGACTGAAATAATTTAAGGACATTTGACATAAATCATTTCCATCAAGACGTTTGTTAAAAGTATGGTTCAATAATCGATTACGAGTTGCATTTAATTTTTGAATTCCTTTAACAACAGCGCACGTGAAAGATATGCGAAGAAAATAAAGGAATAAAAGAAAGAATTTTATCATGAATCTCTAACTCCTTTCAGTATTATCAATGCATGTATCTCTATTTCCAAAAGTAATTCAGATTAAATTTTTAAATAGAACTATTTGCATTTAGAATATTTTTTAAATTTTAAAATGGACAAGCATTAGCAAGTTACATTTATCCAGAAGCGTAACAGTTAGAAAAAACTACTCGTACTAAAAATACTTATAAAAAAAAGAGACATTTTTTAACCAATACTTCAAAAGGAAATGAATGTAATTCAAAATATTGGTTAAAATGCTTTCTTTGAAAGGTGCTATGGGAAAGGAAAATTAATAATGTGGAAAAACTTTCCTCTCTATGATCAGTTCTAATTAAAAATGTTCTATATATAACATTCACTCAAAACATTCTAATGTAAAACAATCTTGCTTCAATGGAGTAGTTGCGTAAATTGAGTATAAGTGTGTATTTAAGTAATTGGAGCGAAACAGAATTAAACAAAATTCTGCTAAAAAATAAGCAACAAAGGTAAAACACGGAATAAAACAAAGGCTATTTAATGGATAAGCGTGAAATTTATCCAAGAGGTTGGTGGGGCATTACTAGACTACATAGCAAATAATAAAGCAATTACGACCATCACATAGAAAAATATCAAATGGGTCGGAAGAATGTGCAATGAGAACATTATGCTAATAACGGGTACGATACCTTCTAGCTGAAATGCATGCCTGACAACGGCGAGGCAAACTGGCAACAGTGTCGTTGATCGCTTGTTATGGCAGTAGCACCAATCCCCGCAGTAATTCATGTCGGAACTCGTGGAGTGTGTCTGGCGGCACACTGCGACCTGCATAGTCCCAACACGTACCCCACATGCCCTCAGCGATTCAAGCCCGGTGATCTAATAGGCTATGGCAGGTGTGGAACGATGTCACTCTCCAGATAACTCCGCACCACTCGAGCTCTATGCGAGCGGGCGTTATCGTCCATAAATATAGCGTTGTTATCCATTGGAATAATAAAAGGACGCACAAGAGGGTGTAGAATTTTGTCGTCATATCGGAAGGCTGTGATGTAACCACCAGGAATCACGTAGAGATCGGTGCGGCCGTTCTTTGCTATCTTAGCCGATACGAATAAGCCTCCTTCTCTGTGATGATCGCTTTCGTCGATGTTTGACGTACGATAGCGCGTCCCTGGCTCTCGCCATATCATTGCTCTTCGGGAATCGTTCTGGATGTTAAATCGAGACTCATCTCTAAATATTACGTGGCCCCACTTCTCTGATGTCCGACTGAGATGTTCACGCGTCGAATTCAATCTCGTTCTGACATGCGATGGAGACAAAGGAACACAAACCACAAGTGGTCGGGAGTACAGCCCATCTTCATGCAGTCACCACTGTTTAGCGGCATATGGGGCCGTCCAACTTCAGCAGAGATATGCAACGCTAGCTGACGTGCTTTTCGTAATCTACGGCGTCTTTTACGTAGCAACAGTAAGCGATCGTCTGCCCTTGTGGTAATCCTCCGGCTCTCAGACCCACCAGTTCTAATGAGGTTATGATTCCTTTGATAACAATTCCATAACACATTGATGATACTACGATGCACATTCAGTTCTCTTGCAACAGGAGATTGTCTTGCACCAGCTTGCAACATCTCGACAGTCCTCCAACGCATTTCACCGTGAAAATGGTGTCTGGTTAATGCTTTTCGCTTTGCCCATCTCGGATTATACGGAACAATTGCTGCTTGAGGACTGACGCATAGGTCGGGAATGCGCCTTTTAAAAGGGTTGTGATGTGACTGCGGTATTACGTTTTATGCTAATTTTGGTTGTCTATTTGCATTCGGCGATGCTGCCTCTACCTCATATGTAGATTGTATGTTTTAATTTCCCTTTTTACATGCGTACCCTTTCTTTCAGCATTTTTTGCTCGGTTTTTGAGCACGAAAGTATAGGTTTAGAACCTGAGAGATTTGTATCTTAGGTTTCTCGAGAATGGAGAGGAAAGTATTTTCAAATCTCATTTTTCCTAAATTCTCTATTAAGGGATGCATATTTTTTATTTGCTAAAAATTTCCCATATCTTGTCTATATGAATGACATCAACGGCAACGAACCTAGTATTTTGTAAGGGATAAATGTTTGAGCATTGTACCTTCGCGTCTCAAGAAAAATGACATACAATTTCTACTTAATTTTATGTTGTTAATGTTTCATTTGAAATAAGCGAAAGAATTTTAATTCTTTTAGTTTGAAACTAACGATTAGCCAAATCATTATCAATGACTTTTGTTACTGCTGCATTTCAAATACCCTTATGCCATAACAAACTACTTTCAAATACACTAATATTATTACAAATTATTACATTAAGTACGTTCATTTTGAAAGGCTTATTTACTAACAGCAAGCTTTATACAAAATAAAATTTTATTATTGACCCACTTACTGCTGTTCTATATGTCTTTCACTGCTTTCTCAGACATTACCATTAGTTTACGAAATAACTTTAAGCCGCGTGGTTTAAACAGTTGTAGAAAAATTAAGTTACTAAGACAGACCTATTAGCATTTTACTCTCTAATTTGTTCTAACTGTTTTCTGTGCCCTAATTGTTACTCTGCATTAGTAGAATTGAAGGCTAAGCTAGACGATGGAAATATGAGGTTGGTGTCACGCAAAGGTTTTAGCACTACAGAAACGGCTACTGCATTATTTAGTACTAAAAGATGTAACAATACAGTCTTTGGTTTCAAAGTAAAACGCATGTATTATCATAAAAAGCTTAATTTAGTTTGCGAATATTAAATTTCTGCTCTGACCACATGAATCTTTTATTAGTAGCCGTGATCCAATATAACGAGAGGAAAAGAAAAAATAAAATAAGCAACTACGATGGGGGGAATAGAGTAAGCCTTTCATGCTTTTCTGAAAGGCTCCAGGTCCTTTGAACAAAAACCGCAGAAAGAGATATGAAGGTTCCCTGAAAAACGACGGTCGTCGGTTGAGGTCATCTTCAGGTCCACTTCAAACACTACAATGTCTGGCTAAGACGTCCGAATGTGAAGAGGATGAAAAAAGGAAAAATTTGCTGAGTTATTTGATACTCGAGAGCTCAGACTTGATTA